GTGGGATTTTCGGTAATCATTTCTCTGTACGCATGACAGGCACACTAGCTCTACTTAGATCCACACGCAAGATTTGATTGGTCAGTATTTTATAGTAGTGGCAGCAGACGATTTACAATTGCATGCAAGCATTAATCAATTGTTTAGTCGTATCGGAAAGTTTGATAAACGGTCTTTAGTCAATTCGCGGATGCGGAGAAAGGTGAAATCGGTACTAGGGAGCGTGAATCTGTGCATGCTAGTGGTGGCATTGTGAGCAAACTGAGGAGAATTGGCAATAAACTGGAGCCAGGCGCCCTCTAGTGTCCATCGATGTTGTAAAACTGGATGCCGTCAGTGGAGTAAGTACAGTTCGGATGTGGATATTCGAGCCTTATGCAGGCTCAACAGACCGGGTCGATATATGTGTCACATCTGCTGGTTCGCGATCTTGTGGCCTCTTGGTCCCAACTGCAATAACAGATGGTATGGGCATTATTGTTCTCTTCCGCAGCAAATGCTGCCTGTGATGTACTTATCGCCCATTCCATTGACGGACTGTCTGTCTGCACACCGGCTTCACAATGCCTGCGCCGGCAGCTTTTCCGCGCTGTCGAGTATGTTTAAGCCTGAAAAGTTTTTGGGACTGCCGTTGGCTGTCGGGAGTCCTGCGGCAGTAGTTCTGTGCGTGCGAGCAGTCAGGCAGTCTGGGTGACATTGATGGTTGTTGCCCCAGCTGTCCCAGCTGTTAAGATAGATGGTATGTGCGTTGTGGTTCATTTCAGCAGAAAATTCTGCCTGCGGAGTACCTTTTGGCACTTCGAACGCCCATTCAATTGTCGAAGCCTCGGTTTTTACCGCGGCCTCAGAGCGGAGGGGAAATGGAGCGTCTGCTGCACTACAATTTGTGAATGGTTCCTCAAGGGCAGATCTTCCGCGGCCTCAGACGCGTCTTAACTTGAAGAATTTTCGGGATGGTCTCGACTGTTGTTGTCCCAGGGGTTCTTGAGCCGGCGAGCAGCAGCGACAGTAGATTTGTGCGTGCGAATAGGCAGACTGGCTGGTCAAAATTGAATTTAAACGCGATGGACTGTCGAGTGGTTGGCGTGTCGTTTTTTATCGATCAACCCACCCCACGTTTTCGTGGCCGTTGTCAGGCTACATTTGCATTCAGGAATTGAAGCATTGTTACCTGGGCTTCTGCCTCCCGAAACTCACAAGTACTAACAAAAATAGATGGAAGGGTTTTGGCTTGAGTAAATATAATTTGGCCGCCAAGCAGGTGTCTTAAGTCCTATACATAAAGGCGTTTACGTATTTAGAGTGAGAGAGAGATGGACTGCAACTTTTAGCCCTCGCTTGCGATCTTGTGGCGTCCTAGCA